TCCCACACACACAAACACAACCTGAGTCCATTTAATACTGCTTGTATGTACACGTGTTTGGGGCTGACCACTTGGGACTGGATAATCTATCCAGGGGCTTGTCCCTGGAGAAAACTGATTTTCTCTCAATCAGCCGGTAGCTCTTCATCTAGGGTGAGGCCTGTGGGGCTTCCCCCATGCATGCTGGCATGTCAACTAGCGTTGTCATTATGTTGGTCTTGTGCAGGCAGCCCTAATGTTGAGATTTCATGGGTGCAGTATCCCTGTCATGTCTAGAAGACACTAGGAGTAGGTATCCTGATCCTCTGGCTCTTACAAAGTTTCTTTCCCTTCTTCTATGACATTGTCTGAGTCTTGGGTGTAGGGGTTGTGTGTAGATATACCAGTTGGATCCGGGGACTCCAGGGTCACTTTCTATCTGCATCTTGACAAGTTGTGACTCTCTGTAGTAGCCTCCACCTGCTGCAAACAGAAGCTTCTTTGATGAGGGGTAAGAGCTGCACTTACTGTGGGTTGGAGGGAACGTATTTAGAGTACAGCTGGAAGCTGTGTTGGTTAGGAAATGGCAATAGCAGGTTTTCCTCTGGGGTCTAGGATCTTCTCAGTCATGGATTCTTGGCGAGGGTTAGAGTGTCAGGCATGCATTCTCTCCTGTTGAGTGGACCTTAAGTCCAATTAGACAGACAGTTGTTGGTTCCCCCAAGATAAAAGTGCCACTGTTGCACCATTGGGGATATCTGATACTGTGATTTATAGGCTTTACAGCTTGGTGGGATTGTTGATTGCTTTTCTCCCTTGGCACTTGAATAGCCCCTTTCAGTAATATGAGCACTAACCATTACTTTGCATCTTAGCTCCAAATCTGTAAACCTGAAGTTTGAACATGGAGTAGCTGCAGAATCAGGGAAGCAGGAGTCCTATGGGGAGTGAAGAGAAAGCTCTAGAGAGGGGTTAGCAGGATGCAGTGAAGGGGAAATGGGGCGGGGGCTTATGAGGAAGGAGAAGGAAGGAGGGGAGAGAACACTCAGGCTATTTGAACAAGTCACAGGGAAGTGTTCTATCTTAGAAGCTTACTTAGAAGTCCTTACGATCAGCTGCTTCTCTGTTGCTTCAATAAACACCCATGACCCAGGCAGCTTGGAGGAGAAGGAATCTTTTTGACTTGTGGTTCCAGGGGGAGACTGCATAATGGCAGGCGGCATGGTGGCTGGAGTAGAAACAGAGAGCTCAGTCTTCAGCAGACAGGAAGCAGAGCAAACTGAAAATGCAGGGGGTTGGAGCTCTCAAACCTACCCCCAGTGACACACTTATTCTGGCCAGGCCATCTCCTGAAGATCCCGTGATCTTGCAAACAGCACCACTGGCAGGGGACAGAGTGGTCAAACATCCTGTGGGGGACGTTTCTCATTTAAAACCATAATATAATGTGTGTAGTTAAATACATAATATATACACACATATGGGGGTGTGTGTGTGTGTAATTTAAGTGGAGTTAAAACTACAAGGGGTGATAGTGCCCCATCCCCTGGGCAATGGTTCTATTTCCAGCACCTGCATAGTGACTAACAACCATCCCTTACTCCAGTTCCAGGGAATCTGACACCCTTCTGGTCTCTATGTGTATTATATGTGTGGATGCACTAACATACATGCAGGCAGAACACTCATACACACAAAAAGAACCAAAAAAACTGAAATCCTGTTCTTTGAGGAAAACTGCTTTGCTGCTACGATACCATTCTCATCACAGCTTGCTCGCCTGCTTCCCCAGGAGATGGGCGCGGCAGGGAGCCTCCTTTCCTCCCGACCCTCCTTGTCACCCATCAGTGTTACTCCAGTTCCAGGGAATCTGACACCCTTCTGGTCTCTGTGTGTATTATATGTGTGGATGCACTAATATACATGCAGGCAGAACACTCATACGCACAAAAAGAACCAAAAAAACTGAAATCCTGTTCTTTGAGGAAAACTGCATTGCTGCTGCGATACCATTCTCATCACAGCTTGCTCGCCTGCTTCCCCAGGAGACGGGCGCGGCAGGGAGCCTCCTTTCCTCCCGACCCTCCTTGTCACCCATCAGTGCTGCTGTGCTGTTGGCACAAGTGGTTGTGAAAAGATGACGTTTCAAGCATTGTTAATTTTTGCACGAGCTGTGTGTGTACGTGTTTACATGTGTGTGGAAAAATGTGTGTATACAGTTGAGCATGCACGTGTGTGTGCATGTGTGTGGAGGCCCAAGGTTGATGTCTGGCATCTTCTTGGCGCTCTCTCGTTTTCTGCTGAGGCAGGAGCTCTCAAGTGAGCTAGAGCTGCCATCGGTGGAGCCTGCTTGCTCTGGGATCCACTGTTCCTCCTGAGTGCTGCTAGGGTTAGAGGTGGGCTGCATGCCTTATCTGTACACCACCGCCAGCCGTGCATTCCTCTTAACCTAGTAAGTCAGCTTCACAAACAGAGCAGTCAGCTCTCAACAATTCCGTGTTAATAAGGCCAGGACATGTTTTCAGAGTAAGAGCAGGTTACACATGAGAGCTGAGCTGAGTCGGTACTTGTAAACGCTGGAGCTTATGGTGTTGGACTTCTTGTTTTCATATTTAATTGTACTACTGTGGAGTCATTCTTCTCATGTGGATGACAGTTCTTGCTGAAGCTGGTCTTTCTTTAGACCGAGTTTTTATTTGCTTTTAGTAACATACATTATGTGGCTTACCCATGAGCACCTACTAGGCACGGGAGAGGAGAAACAAAGCTAGGTCAGATGACGAAGCCTGTGGGAGCTGGAGTGTGAGGGGAGGTGAGTACGCACAGCAGTAATTGCAGGAAAAAGTCAAATGGACCCAGGAAAGGATCGTTTCTGCTCCGTTGTTTGGCTTGTAGACTGTTTCTGGTATTTTTTGGTATGAGCCCTGGTCTGCCTTTTACTTGCCCAGGTCATCCAAATAGGAATATCTTCAGTGGGTAACAAAATGCTTTTGTTTGCATGTGGTTTTTATGTATTAGAAAAGAGGGCTAGGAGACAGGTAAGATTTAAACCTCATGACCTGGTCCACCGTAGGAACTTGGCGTTTTTGCTCTGCCTCCAGCAACAGTCCCGGTTGCCAGAGTAGAGCCTAGCCTTCGTGTGTTTCTTTGCAGGGGCGTGAGCATCAGCGTTCTCAGACACGAAGCGGAGTTCTATGGGATCACCCCACTAGGTGCGTGACCTGACGGATAGGTAGTACTCGTAGTGAGATCTCTACTCTGTCTTAATCTACGTACTTGCCCTTTCTTTCCCTGGCCTCTCAAGTTGGGAACAGAAATGGACGTTGTTTGTGTGCGTGTGTCTTGACCAGTGTGCTTTGCCGTGGTTACAGTGCGCAGACTTCTGCTGTGTGAGGAACTGGAGCGCTCATCCTGCGGCAGCGTCCTCTTCCACGGCTACCTACCCCCACCAGGTACTCCAGCTTCCGGGGCTCAGCCTTCGCGGAAAAGAAACACTGCTTCTCCATGAGTGGGTTTTGATGAATCTAGAAGCAATAAGAACTCTGTGACCATGAAACCACATGTGTGTACAGTGGGGGTTCAGCAGCCTTTAAAGGGCCAGGTTTGTGAGCCTGAACCTAGGCAGCGCTGTACCACGCCACTCCACCTGGGGCACCCCGGTCCCCTCGCGTTAGTCACAAGAGTCCTCCTTCAGTGTGTTCAGTGGTGCTGAAAAAGGCTTCAGTTTGGAAAAGACGCCTTGTCCACAGTGTGGGGGGATTGACCTCTGAGCAGGAGAAGCCCAGATGACATGGGATGACTGCCAGGGGCCTGGCTCAGACTGGACATGATCTATTCAGTGACCTGAGGCCAGGTGATAGGGGAGCCTGATGAGATAGACCTTAAGCTGAGTGGTTGTAAGTAATATTACACGTGCCAGAAAACTGTTGAATGTTTCTTTATTCTTTTTATAATTACGTGCAATAAATTGCTCTGTTCAAAGATCTATTTCAGATAAAAGATTTTTATATTTTCTGTTTCAGTGTAGTTTGTTAATTTTTGGAAGGGTAACAGAAATATATTTGTGTCTTCTCCTTTGCAGGCATTCCTAGTCGTCAGATAAACAGCACAGCTAGATCCTTGGCTGATGGTAGGAAAGGGCTGAATCCTACGGACAGTGACATCCTGGCCAGTGGGGCACAGCCTGTTCTCTCTGGACCAGAAGAGACTGTTAGGCTTGGTAAGCAGACTGTGACGAGATGGACGTGTGAGTGCTCAGTGACAGAAAGCCACTAGTTTGGAGTATGTCCTTTTTTGTTTCATATTCACATATGTGGGGGTGTGTATTTGAGGGGGGTGCTGTGGGTTGGACCCAGGGTCTCACACATACCAGGTAGGTCTTGTAAGTCCTGAGCTACGCCCCTAGCTTTTATCTCTTCTAAATCCAGAGTCATCCTTCACATGTATGTCTTGGGAAGCCTCATCTGACATAACTTTTCTTTAACGTGTTATGTGATTCTGTTCCGCTGTTTGTTCCAACCCCTCAGAAGGAAGGTTGGAAAACTTTATGATAAGGGCCATACAGTAAGTGAGCAGTTTAGGCTTACTGGCCCATGTGGCATCTGGGAGTGTCTTAACTTTGCCACTGTCTTGGGAAGGCATGATAGGCAGTCTCTGCTCCAGTCTCTGCTCCAGCCACCCTGCTGGCATGTCAGAAGAGTGAAATTGGCCTGTGGGCCACAACTGGCCAGCCTCTGTTTAGAATGTAAACTGTTTCTTTTCTGACACGAGCAGGATCTCCTGTGGATCCCAGGAAGGTGCTGATAGTGGCGGGTCACCACAACTGGATCGTAGCTGCCTACGCCCATTTTGCTGTGTGCTACAGGTGCTGAGCTGCTAATCATCTCTGTTTTCTGCAGATTTTGTTAATTATTATTGTATATTTAGGTTGGAAATTCTTTTAGCCGTCAATCTTCTCCCCTGTATATTTCACCCATTTCACTGGATCTAGTTGAGTAAATATTGCTGACAGTCAAAATAGGTCTTAAATGTTGCCCAGACCACACCAGCTGTGATGCAGCTGAGCTGTCTTGATCTCTCCTTTGGTATTGATGGCCTTCTGACCCACTTAGCTGTTATGTTAAAGGACATTAGACAGGATTGGTAATGTGAGCTCTGAAATTCTTCTCTGTAGTGAGTCAGTCCCTTGTACTCTGCATCAGAGGAGAGTGCAATGTGTACTGGTCATAACTGCCACGCTCTTGGGCATGCAGTAGTGAGGTGGAGGGGTTGTCAAAGAGGCCTTGTGTAGCCCCTGGTAGTGTGTGAACGTCACAAGGCAGTTTGCTTCTCCTCTCTGAAATTAAAAGCCAGGACGGGTTTAGAGTCCAGAGTAACTCTCTCTCTCTCTCCATGTGCATGTGCGCGCGCATGTGTGTCTGTGTGTGTGTGTGTGTGTGTGTGTGTGTGTGTGTGTGTGTGTGTGTAGTTGGAGAGTAGGGCTTTTCCTTATACCCTGTATGCAGGAAGATGCTGGTGGAGTGGTGGGGAGCAGGAAAGTGGCTGGAAGTGGTTGGCTTTACTGCCTCAGAGCCTGAGCCTTTTTGGTTTAGTTGTTGGAAAGTTGAAGAATACATAATTTTGGTTGGTCTTTTTTTTTTTTTTTTTTTTGTCACTGTCGACTTTGGTTAATAAGTAGCCATAGTAGGTTAAAAATATTAAAATCCCTTCTGAGGTTTACAGATACATTTAGAGCCCCAGAGGTGTCGGAATCATGCTCAGGAGGGTTTGCAGGTCACCTCAGTCTCCAGGCTTGGCTATGAGCACTGTAGAGTATGGAGACTTTCCATTCTGATCCTTTTGCAGGTTTTTAAATTTAATTATTAAATAATCAAGAAATGAGCTTTGAGTGATTATTTTGTGAATGATTTCTACATGAAGGAAGGATAACTTGGTAAAGGAATTTTTTTTAGTCATTTTGAGTTTACCGTCATCAAACTTTAAACTGAGAAGGCTTTTAGTTTTTTTAAATATCGTGTACATATTTTTTCACTGGCAAGGGATTCCAGAAAGTCACAAAATGATTGATGAGTTTCTGCTTGTAAGAGCTCAACCTGGGCGCTGGGTACTGTGCAGGTGCTCCTTCCAGAGACACTGTGAGGCCCTGAACAGGGCCTCACAGGTTGAGGGGGAGGAGGAAGTGTGATGCCGCCCCCCTTGCCCATTCTGCATCTGGACTCCACTGTAGAGTCTTAATCCGGGAAGAATTTCCTCTTTTGTAGGTGGTGTGAGATTTGAGATTATGTTTCCTTTTCTTACAAGTGAGCAACTTTTTATGTTTGGATCATTTATGGCATAAATCATCCTTCTCCTGGATTTGAAGTCCCCTTTTCTGTGTGTGTTCATGTATGTGATATGAAGTATATATATGTATACGTGTAAAGTCTGTATGCATGTAATTGTTTATAGTATGTACGTGTTTACTGTGTAAACATGTGAATGAGTTATTTGTATATGTGTGATGTGCGTATGTGTGCGTACATGTTTGGATGTGTGTACATATCTATGTAGTATATGTAAGTATAGTGTATATATGTGGTATACATGTATGGTGTGTATATATAGTGTGTTGTATGTGTATATATGTGTGGTGTGTACATGCATATGTGGTGTATGTACGTGGGTGCGCTAATGTATATATGTATGCAGTGCATGCATGTGTATGTCGTATGTGTACGTGTATATATATGTGGGGTGGGTGGGTGGTATGTATTTGTGTGTACATGTGTATGTCTGTGTGCTCAGTCAGAAAGTCCCTAGAAGTCTCCATTTCATGCCTCAGTGTCTTTTTAGCTTATTTTCACTTCTCTACCTGAATGCACACTCCCATCTGGTGGCTGGAAAGGGTTATTACAGTCCTTAAAGTGCTTAGGAAAAACTGATAGCTTTTGCTCTTTATTGCTTTGAAGCTTAAATAAGGAAATCATTCATTTTCCAAATTAAGAGGGCCTTATTAGTGCTTGTGAATCGTAGTCTCTTGCTTTAATGTGCATATTTAAGTGAAAACGACTGGCCAGAAAGTGGTGTGCTAATGAGTGTGTGATCTGCCAGTGACTGCCTAGGTTTGGGTCACCTGTGTGTCAGAGTGTAAAGAAGCAACTTTGTCCTCAGGTGGGGCGGGAGCAGTTTCCCTGCAGTCATCTTCATGATGGTGCTTTTTTTCCAGGCTATAAATACATGAAGGCTTATTTTATAGTCACATAGAATAGCCATTGGAAAGACTTAAATTACCATATGACAGAAAAAATTATTAAAAATAAGAGAGCCAGGCCTGGTGGTACAAGTCTGTACCCCAGCTTCTCTTAAGCTGAAGTGGGAGCATTGTGAGTTGGAGGCCAGCCTGGGCTACATAGTAAATCCAAGCCAGTCCAGTCTTAGCTCCATAGTGAGACCTTATCTCGAGAGGGACAGATGGACGGAGGGAGGAAGGGAGTTGAGGGGGAGAAGATGAGAGGAGGGAGGAATTTTCAAAGAACAGGTAGTTACTGGAAGAAGTTACTGTGTGCAGCTCTTCCATCTGCATTTCAGCCTTTATGAACCAGTCCTGAGGGTAAACGTGTCAGCCCCACTGCTCACATGTTGTTCCAAGGGATTGTGCTGTTTTCATGTATATGGGCACATTCGCATCTTAGTTTGCCCAATAGAGTGTCCCCTCAGTAAAAAGACCAGATCCTTTCCCTTCAGTTAATAATGACTTTAGAGTGATTAAATAATAATTTAATGGGAAGGGATAAAATTCTGTGTGAAATTGTGGCTTTTGTTGACTGTTATTATACCTACAACGTGACAGAGTTTTGTGGAAAAATGAGTGAGAAATACAACCGTCTTTTTAAGAATTCTTCAAAGAAATACAGGACTCCAGTGATGTCACATGTCCTATATGTGAAATTACACGGTCAGGGCTGATACCTGTCTTGTAGGTGATACACATGTATATGTACATGTGTATGTGGTAGACATGGGTAGATGGTGACTAGTTCATTGTTCTCTGCTGTGTTGGGTTCTGTTCCTTTGCTCGGCTGCTGTTAACCATGCTTTTTGTGTCTGTGTTTCGACAGAATCAAAGAGTCTTCAGGGTGGCAGCAGGTGTTCACAAGCCCCTACCTGGACTGGACAATTGAACGAGTGGCTTTGAATGCGAAGGTGGTTGGAGGTCCACATGGAGACAAGGACAAAATGGTGGCGGTTGCCTCTGAGAGCAGCATCATCCTGTGGAGTGTTCAAGACGGGGGAAGTGGCAGTGAAATTGGTAGGAAGGAGCTGATGTTGCTTTTGACTGCTCTGCGTCAATGTTGGTCATTAGGAGAGATGGGCTGTGATGTGAAGACCAGCCTGGCCTGTCAGCTAGCTAGAGTTGTGACACCTTTCCACACCAGTCATAGTAGACCACTCGGTGTGGGCTGGCCTGCTAGGGGAAAAGCCTGGTGTTCTAGGAAAGGAGAGCGCCTCACTGCAGGTCTGCTTTGTTTGGAGCCTGGCTGCAGTAGGGCTGCTGTCTTCCAGAATTGCACCCAGTGGGGCGTTTTCCCTCCTCACACCACTGAAGGTGGATATAACCCCCATGCCCCCGGTCTTGCTTCCATCTCTAAACTGCTCAAGCTTTTGGTCTCAGAACCCCATGGCACTCTTAAGTTATTCAGGTCTTTGTATAGGTCATCATGTATTTATATACATTTATCTTACGAGAAATTAAACCCTACACTTTCATATTTACTAAAAAAGCAACAATAAACTCATGACCATGTAGATAACATTTTTAATGACAATAGGTCTTTTCCAAAGAGAGATTAGTAGAGAGGAGTTGTACTGCTTGCAGTTTTCTAAATCTTTGTGATGTCTTTAAAAAAATTGTGTAAAAGCCCGGCATAGTGGCACACTCCTTTAATAGGCAAGCAGATCTGTGTAGGGTGGAGGCTACCCTGGTCTGCCTAGCAAGTTCCAGGCACCTGGGGCTACAAGGAGACTCTGTCTCAAAAAAACAAAGCAAACAAACAAACAAATGAAATTGTATGTGTTGTATATGTGTGTGGGAGTGTGCACGAGTATGCATGTGTATGCCTGCCTGTGTGAGCATGTGTGGAGTAGAGGCCAGAGGAGGACGTGGGATGTTCTCTGTCGTGCTCTGCCTTACTGACCTGGGAGAGGGCCCCTCATTGAACTTGGGGCTTGCTGGGGTTTTGTCCAGGCTGGTTGGCCAACAAGCCACAGTGTTCCCTGTGTCTCCAGTCCAGCCACTGTGGAGGTGGTCTTCTTCCCTGTGGAGGTGGTCTTTTTGTCATGATTGTAATACTTTGTCATATCAAACAGCAATGTGTATTTTCAGTGCAGTTCTCACTACTTTAGTCTCTTTCCTGAACATGCCTGGCAGAAGAACCTGGCGCCCACTAGTGCGGTTTAATGCCCACCCTACTGCTGAGCAGCTGCTGTTCGCCCAGTGTTGGTTTCCATCGTCAGTGCAGGTGTCAGCCCAGATGTTCTGGAGTACAACAGGAGCTTCTTGAAAGTTTTCAGCACTTTGAGTATTTTAGTACTGCTTGTGCTTATGACCAGCTACGTACATAAAAGATCTTAGGTGATGTCGATACCAGGACCTGCTGAGTGTGAGGAGGAAGCTGTCTCTCCTTGTCTGTATGCTTGCCTGTCTGCAAAGGCGCAGCAGTACAGGGCGATGGACTCCTAGGTTCCAGTCTTCTTAAAGGAAAGAATTTAGTAGAATTCTTAGGAGTGGGTTTAACAAAGCACGGGAGAGGAGAGGTGACCTCAGGAGAGCTGCCCCCCCCCATGGGAATCCGTATTGTGGGTTGGGAAGAACACGCTTGTGGTTTCCTCCCTCCTGTGGGGCCTTTCTCAGGCCCTCTTTGGGTACACCCTCCTTTGGTCCCACTCTGCTGTGCATGCATTGTTTTTCTTCCTTGCTTGTCAGGATACTGGTTCGTGGATGTGGGGGCATTAGGAAAATGCCCTGGGCACCTTTATTTCTGATATGTCAGGCAGGACCTAACTGCAGCTTTGAGGCTGTCGAGCAGCACAGGGACAGGCTGACCTTACAGGAGACACAGCTACCAAGATGGTCTGCATTTCCTTCAGCCATCTCACGTCTAGCTCCCTCTCCCTGCCCTGGCAAGGGGTGTTCCTAACCACAAAAGGTGCTAGTGTCTGCCCAGCTGCCAACTCTTACCACGGATACGTTTCTGCAGATAGGACATTGCCTCTGTCAGATTTTTAACTTGAGTAGTCATGGTACCCTGAAGAGGGCCAGTGCAGTCCTCTCCCGGGCTGTCTTCCTTCTAGCAGGGGTCAGCACTGTGACCTGTCCAAGGCTTTACTGCTGGTCTCCCTGGGAGTCGTGGCATTTCTCTAACCTGTGACGTCCCGTAGCTTAACCCTGTGGGTCAGTTCGTTTTCTTGTGGCTGTGACAACACCCGACAGGAGCGCACTGTGGGGAAGGTGTTCCTTTGGTTCATTCTGAGGTGTAGCCCATCCTGGTGGCTGAGTCATGGTGGCAGGAACCTGAGGCAGCTGCGCACGTCATCTATCAGGAAGTGGAGAGGAGCACTGCTGCTCAGTTGACTCTCCTTTGGTCGGCTCTGGTCCGGGACCTCGGCCAAATGGTGCTATTCATGCTCAGTGCTGAGTTCTTCCCTCAGTTAAACCTTTGTGGAAATGTCCTTACAGGCCCAGAGATGCATCTCCTAGGTGATTCAAAATCCGGTTTGGGCTGACAGTGAAGGTTCAGCATCACTCCCTCTAGGGTGCCTCACTGGCCTTTTCATGTCTAGTTTGGAAGTCTGTGTTTTAAGCTTTCACAGATTTTTCAGACTTAATTTCTTTGTATTGTAAATATTTGTCCTCAGTGGCCCACAGCTGATAGAATGAACACTGCTCACAATGGTTCTGTTGCCCAAGACACATTGTTACTGTTTTAATACTGATATGGTTGAGGGAAAAGCAGTTTTTGCTTTATGTAATTTTTTGTGGTGCTTGGGGTGAAACCCAAGGCCTCATGGCTAGGCAAACAGCCCGACACTGAGTTGTACCCTCAAGCCCTGTGGTTAAAACGAGGCTTTGGGGTGCAGCTCTGTGGTACAGTGCTTTTCCTGCATGGGCGAAGACCAGAATTGATCCCTAGCAGTGATTTTAAAAACATGATTTTAAAAACAGCATGTTGGAGTGAAGCATTAAATTTTAAACTGGTTTAGGTAAAGTTTAAACATTCAGAAAAGTTCTCAAACATTATCAGTACTTCCTGCAGGACCAGGTTTTGATACATACGCTGCATCACTTAGTGACAGGGACATTCATTACTGTGTGAATGAAATGTCTCAGGACACACACAAAAGACTGTTAGTTTTAAGGGCCCATGAGCAGTTGTGTTGCTGATGTAAACACTGTTACCTGGGATAGTCTCTGAAGCATTGATTCCTATCCAGTGATAACACTCTGTTCTCTAACCTTGGACCTTCTTGTGTCTGCCTAAGTCAGGCTACATGGCCAGGGTTCTGAGATCCGCTGTTTGTACTTCCCCAGTGCTGTGATTACAAATTGTGCACCTCCAGCTTTTTGTAAGGGTTCTGGGGCTCGAAATTAGGTCCTCACGTTCGCACAGCATGCAGTTCTCCGCCTGAGCCGTCTCCCTAGACCATCCTCCAGTTATTGACTTGTATGTGTTCTTTTAGGTTCCAGATCAGTGATTCACAAGCAGAGATAATGTCCACCAAGAGACATATGGGCATGTCTGGATGTTTTCCACTGATAGGGGTGAGGTGAAGTCTGTACCTCCTGTCTTCCCCGCTCCTTCTCCTTGAGGCTTATTCACCTTAGAACACTTTCTATTGGCCCAGAGACCCACGACACACTTTCTCCCTCCCGTTTCTTCTTTCTCCATTTTCAATTTGGGTAAATATTATTGATTGCTTTAAGGTCTTCTACTTTTTCCTGCACTCCTCAGTCTGCAGTTAGTCTTCTCTAGTACGTGTTCATTTGCAAGGCTAGGGTTACTAGCTGTAGAGCTTTTGATTGCATCTTTACAGGTATGTTTCTCTGCTGAGATTTATTTGTTTTGCTCATTAGCTGTGATTTTATAAGTCTAACCTTGTGTTCTGGGCTGTAGTGATGACACAGTGGTTAAGAGGACTTACTGCTCTTGCAGAAGACCTGAATTCACTTCCCACCACCCAAGTCAGATGGTGTACAACTCCCTGTAACTCCAACTCCAGGGGATCTGATGCCCTTTTCTGGCCTCTGTAGGCACCTGTAACTCATATGTACACACACACACACACACTCTTACTTTAAAAATAATAAAAACAGGTCTTTTTTTTTTAAGGTTTATGAGCCATTTCCAGCAGCTGGGTCATCCCATGTTGTTATTTTGGTTACATTTTCTTTACCTTTTTAGAACATTCTGATAACATACTGGACATGTGCATGATTGTGGGTGTGGGGCTGTTGTCTTCTAAATATTGTGTGTTTTATTCCAACAGGCGATTGATCACATTAGGGAGGCTCATGTTGGTCCTGGGATGCTTGTTTTTGTGCATTGTGAGCAATAAGTAGCCCCTTTTAATTTTTGGTTAGGGACATTCATTCTTCCCAAGGTTTTGGTTCTGGTAAAAAAAAAAAAAGAGAAAAAGAAAAAAAGACTGCCTTTCTGGAGCTGTTGGGAGTATGTGAGGCACTCAGCAAGGTGCCTGGCTCTCACTGAGCTGGAAGCACCTCACCCGCTTGCCGTGGCCCCCGGAGTCTCTGGCCAGCCTCCACTCTCATGGCTCCCTCTCTGTTTTATTCCTGAGGTGTTCTTCCCCTGCCCAGACCTGACTGAAACCTCCTACAGCTTCTGCCCCACCCACTGTACCCAGCACCAGTGCGTGGCTTCCTTTGTACCCTCCCTCAGCTTCTCTGGCTCCTAGCTGGGAAGCCATCGTGGTTTCCTCTCTGTTGTGTGGTGGCTGTGTCCCCTGCTGCCTGTTACGCACGGCCTGAAAAGTTGCTTCATAGTCTATCCAATTTCTTTTTTGGGGAATAATCAATACCACTTATAGTGCTGTGGCTGATAGTAGCCTCCTCCCTTCGATTTAATAGAAAATAAATTTTACTATTAAAAATACACAGGTAAATATACAGGAAGCAAGCCAGTTGCAGTCCCCACCTCCGCTTTTGTTCAGCTGTTGCTACAAGTGGAGAGTTTATTCCTTGGTTTGCATCCTTGGCTACTGTGGTAGGTGGCTGTGTTACAAGATGGTATAATAGTAATTTATTTCTGCACTGTAAAGGAAAGCATTTGTTACTGCAAATGTTCTTCAGAATCTGACATTGTCATCCAGAGGAAATTGTTTGGGCTGGTAGATCATGGCAGAGTTCTCCCAGAGACTGAGCTCTGTTTGTTACAGCTTTCGTAGATCTGTGCCAAAGTGGCGCCCTGGCAGGGACTGCTGCCTTCCCTGCGGACAGTGGTCAGGAAGCCCCTTGACATTCAGAACGTCTTCCCTGACTTCCCACAATCAGTACAATTGGCTTCGGTGTTTTTTTTTTTTATTTTTATTTCTGCTGCAGGACTGAGTGTGGCTTTGACCTCAGGTGTTTTAAAAAAATTGGTCTCAAGGGGACTGGAGAGATGGCTCAGCAGTTAAGAGCACTGACTGCTCTTGCAGAGGACCCGGGTTCGATTCCCAGAACTCACATGGTGGCTATGAACCATCCCTAACTCCAGTTCCAAGGGAATCCAAAGCCCTTTTCTGACCTCCGTGGCATTGCACAACATGGGTGCACTCACATACATGCAGGCAATACACTCATACATATAAAATAAAAATGATAAAATATTAAAAAAAAAATTGGTCTCGAAACTGCAGTACCATCCTGTAAGGATCAGTACAATTATACAACCTGGAGTAATTACTTTCTGCTTTGAAGTTTTGTTTTTTTTTTTTTTTTTTTTTTTAAAAAAAAAACAAACAAGATCTTACTATGTAGCCCTGACTGGCCTGGAACTTGCTACATAGACCAGGCTGGCCTGGAACTCACAGAGGTCCTTCTGCCTCTGCCTCCAGAGTGCTGGGATGAAAGGTGTGTGCCACCAGGCCCAGCTTGAAGTGGAAGGTTTATCTGTTTTCGTCAAAGGGCAACTTTTTCTGTGTCATCCTATTTGATTGGCAGGTTGGGTAATGGTACCGTGTTTACGTGTCTGTTCTGTAAATGTGTATTTCCGTGCACTTGGCCTGTGTAGACGATGTGTTCCCAGCGGTGCTTAGTGTCTGCTTCTGGGGTTCTGCTTTGTCTGATGTGTTGTCCTTTCTAGTGCTTTGTTTTGTCTTCAAAAAAAGTCAGCGTGTAAGTGTGTGTGTGCGTGTGTGTGTGTGTGTGTGTGGTGTGCGTGTGTGTGGTGTGCGTGTGAGGTAGTCAGGTGACAGCTTGGGGAGTCTGATCTCTCCTTCCACTGTGGGTTCTGTGGCTTTGACTTGGGTTGTCAGGCTTGCATACAAGCACTGACCCACCAAGCCGTCTCAGATGCCTGGCCCTTTCAAGATTGCTTTAGCGCTTTCCAAGCGCAGCTCGTTGCCCCTGAGTCCTGTACTGCACAGTCCTGAACAGAGAGAAAACACCTGCTGCTCCAGAACAGCGTGTCTTCTGGCTATGCTTTCTAACGCATGCTGCAGTTACACTTAATCACTTATTTTTCTCCTGTGGGTTATTTAAGGCCTTATGGATCCTTCTCTTCCTTAGCTAAATGTTGAAAAATTGTTTGCATTGGCACATAGGAACTTAAAAAGAAGAAAAAAAAAACCTTTAAAATACTTGAATAAAAGTCTACGTAAAACAGTATGTTATAGATGAGATTTATTTTCCAGCATTATTGATTAAAAGATATTTCCCAGGAGACGTGCTTCAAATAATTAATTTACTGCTTTAGTGCCAGAATTCGATTATACTACTCTTTTTTCAAAGTTTTAAAAAATTTTTAGTTTTGTGTGTATGAGTGTTTTGCCTGCATGTATGTAAGTGTACCCGTGTCATGCAGTGCCTATGGGGTGAGAAGAGGGTGTCACATCCCCTGGAACTGGAGTTATGGACAGTTGTTAGCTGACACGTAGGTGCTGGGAACTGAACCTGGTCTTACACAGGAGTGACCGTGCTCCTAACCTTGGAGCCATCTCTCCAGCTCTGATTCTGCATGTTTAAAGTGAAAATAATTATTGAGACATTTGGCTTGAACTCTGTAAAAGAACAAGAAATGTGGCCAAGAAGTGTAACTTTGAGAACCAGAATTCCCATCATCTACCACGAGACAGGCCAGTGTGAGGGCCAGAGATGCCAGTCCAAAAGGAGCCCAGAATTCTTGCTCTTTGCTTCCCACCACCCACTTCCCTTCCCTTGGGTTCCTAGCTTGCCTGTTTCCAATTCTGCAGCTCCACCTGTAGGCCTTTCAAAGCCCAGCCCACGGGGTTTCTTTCCCAGGTTACATTCTGCGCCCTACCTGCCCTCTGTGCTTCTCTGGGTACTGTGAACACTGCGCAGCCTTCTATTAGCTTTGCATTGTGTTCAACCTAATTGCAGTTTTTCCTACTAGACTGTAAGATCCTACTAAAAGGATCCTGCTTGGCTTTCCTTGTTTTTACTTTTACTTTTACTTTTTTTTTTTAACTCCTGGGGCTTTATATGGTGCCTTTTCAATCAATGCAATTGAGATTGAAATGCTGGGAAACAAGGGGTTAAAACTAAGCTCTTAATAAAAGTCTTGAATGTTTGAGTATGATGTGACCTTTTTGTCTTCTGTTTACTTGTTTATTTCTGCATTTTAAGGTACCTTCTGGGTAGTTGGGTTGCCACGTCTGTGTCCCGTGTCAGTGGTTCCAAGATCAGGTCCATGAGCAGCTGCATTACATTTCCTGTAGATGTCCGACATGATCCCAGGGTCCCTACTATTCTGTTCACTGTAGGTCTGTGGAGTTATCCTGGTGAGCACCTGGCACTTAGCACCACAGGGAGGAGTGGGTGTGTGCTTTAGCTCCCACAGACTCCACTGGAGGACTTTTCGGGTTCTGCCTGGTTTCTGGTTCCCATCGATCCTAGGACATATTGGTAGAAATGAGAACAGGTTTGTGGCAGTGGCCTTTGCGATGTTTTCATTTGGCTGTGGCAGATTATGTAGACTTGTCTGATTAACCTCTCTGTTCCCTTTGCCATTTAAGGAGTGTTCAGCCTTGGTGTTCCTGTAGATGCCCTCTTCTTTATTGGGAACCAGTTGGTGGCCACGAGTCACACAGGGAAAGTGGGCGTGTGGAACGCTGTGACTCAGCACTGGCAGGTTAGTGTCAACTAAAGCCTGTTACAGAAGTGCAAATCGTCCTGAAACTTGTGCTGCTTGTGCATCTGCCATTTCCTGGCAGAGTCCATGCTGTCTCTGGTTTTGAATATACAGAATATTGCATGCGTTCAGTGGGAAATTTGCTTCTAGGTAGAAATTTTATCATTTTTCAAGGAGTTTTTAATTTATAAATGGAGCAACTTCCAAACTAAGGCTTGATTGCTTCACTTCCCTGGGGTTTCGAGCTGCAGGTGGGAAGTCCTGGTAAGCTTCATTTGTGTAGAGCCAGATGTGAGTGACAGATGTGGCCTGCTCAGAGGCAGTGAGACACACAGCCTTGGGGTCCAGGGCAATTGGAAGATAAGACTGAAGAACAGGGAGAATGGCTCCAAGTAGAGTTCTGTAGTTTGGGACAGCAGCATTGGTGCTGAGATTGAAAGGGGCCCTGTTGCTTGTGGAGGGCGTCTGTCCTGGGACCCAGCAAAAGGTGAAAGCTCCAGGTAATGAGGTCACAGAGGTGGCAACAGTGGGTCTCAGAGAAACAGGCCAGGCTTTCCTAAGGCGGCAGAGGGTACATCAGACTTCGGTGGAAAGTTAGAGCAACAGGTCTGTTTCTACAGTGGGGTTTCTGGGTTGACAGCGAGGTAGCTACGATTTCAAATGGGTAAAGAGAAACCAACAAGCTCTGTGCAGCATAAGCTGAGCGATAAACAGATTGAATGTTGGCTGTGGGCTTCCTGTTGAGTGTGTAACTGGGGGCATTCTTTGCACTGTGTAGATCAGGATGGTCTCTAGACCAGGCTGGTCTCAAACTTGAGGCAAACCTCCTGTCTGCCTCCCAAGTCCTGGCCACCACTCAAGGCTAGCCAGGAACACCCTTGGCATTTGGGAAAGAAGATGGAACTAGAAACAAGTATTTCAAACCCACAGTCCTCCATGACAGTTTAAGGGGGTAGGAATTGATGGGATTTTCCACTGAGAGGACACAGAGAAGGAAGGGCCCAAAGAAAAACCATGAGCACAGAGGAGAGATGGGAGATGGCTGCAGAGTGGTGCTGGTTCAGACAGTGCATCCTTGGCAGGTGTCAGAGGTGAAAAGTCAGGAGGGAAAACGGAGGAATTAGAAGATCCGACATGAACAAGTGCGGAGCTGTCCTTTGAGATGTTTAACGTTAAAGGAAAGCAGAGCCCTGAGATGACAATGTAAAGATCAGCACAATGTTTTTAAGATTTCTGGGGTAGAGAAGCAGCATGTCAGGCAGGGAGGTGTCTGGCTTGGAGGTGGGGTGCGGGGTGTAGCACACAGCTAGACAGGATCACTACACCCTCCGTTCTGTGGGACCGATGACCAGGAAAGAGGGAGGAAAAGCATGCTGCACGTGTGTCATCAAAGACCGCAGGAGGGATGGATTGGGCGTTTGCCATGGGCCCTGGTGATCCATTGCTTAGTTCTCACAACTGGATGGGAAAGGGAGCCAAGAGCAGAGCACTGGCTTGGTTCAGGGTAGGAGCTTTAATGAAATGGATATGGTGCGCCAAGGGCTGGGAAATGGAAAGGTGGGAAGGTTGCTGCAGCTGTCAGACTGCGAGGGACTGATGGGTGTGCAGAGAAAGATCAGGGCCGGCCTTGTCCCTAGTGTACTGCAGAGACGGTCTTCAGTGAAGCCACAGCCTCTGTTTTGCCTGCAGATCCCTACAGACAGCTGGCTGGAGGCCAGCTCCCAGGACTGCTGGGCACTAGTCGAGCAGCTTCTGAGTTGGCCATTAGCAGCATTCTGGCCACAAATAATGCAGGAAGTGTGCAGGGCAGCTTTTCAGTGCTTGGTTCTAAATGTGTGATCAAGATTGATTCGAAGTGTTCCTGTCAGATGAACCACTAAGCTGTGCACCATATTTAACCTTAAAACCATCATGAAAATTTTGTTTTCCTATCAGTGTCACATCAAGTCGGCTTCGATAAAGTGCTAATGAGACTTTACAAAAGCATACCTAATTTAGGCAAACATGTACTTCAGTGTCTTTTTCCCTTTTAATCTCCCCCTTCACACATGCAGCATGTACAAGCATGCAATGATGTCTCAAAAGGTTAATAAAATTTTCATTAGCCTTGTCAAGTAGGCAGGTAGCTCAGGCAGCTACATAGCAGAAAGTGGCAATGTGTTAGCATGATTCCCCACTGTTTGCCTTCAAATTTAGACTTATACCAGAAACAGCGATCACATATATTTTATTCTCATATCAAAACATAGAGAATATTCTGGAAGTTAGTCCTGGAAGCCAGTATTTATGTACTTTGCTTCCTAAAGGATCAGTTTTTCCTGTGCTCATTTTGAAGTATAAAGATCATCAGTTAAAATGGTCTCAGTCGTAGCCCAGCCTGTGACTGAGCAGTGGAGCTCGCTTTGAGCACGAAATGCTCCTGGGTTCAGGATTCAGAGGAAGCTTTTGTGATGGGATGGATTAGCTGCCCATGAGTTGGGGAGACTTGTTTGATTTTGCTTACTCTGGAGCCCATTCTCCTACAGCCCAGATGATGAAGACGTCTTTCTTAGGGAGCCTTGGGAAGCTCTAGGCCACTGCCAATCTTGCAGTGGAAAATGGATCCCGAGGGAGAAGAATCCATCCTTCCTCGCCTCTTCTTGGTACTGTGAGGATTCTGGGGTAGGAGTTAGTCCCCCTGTAGTGCTAGAGCTGGAAGGATCCAGATCACTGGGGTGAGGCCACACTGCCCCCCACCATGTCCGTAAAGCCAGTTCCACTCTTGAGACATCTTGACTTGTACTGCAGAAGGTCTGTGGTGTGCCCTGCTGTAGAAGCCTGGCCTGGGCATGGCGGTTTCTCGTGTAACCCTTGACTGTATGAGACGGCATAGAGCTGAGGGGCCTGTCTGTGAAAGGCTTAGTGGGACCACTAATCCCAGGTGTCAGCTCTTTAATAGAAGGAGCTTAGATTCTGTGCCTTTGAGTGTTCTGGAAGACATTCCTCTCCCCTCGTTTGTGCCCCCCTCGTGGCTGGTTTTGATTGTGAGACCCCACGTGCTCTCCGAATCCTGTCCTGACCAGACCCCTGCCCTGCCCTGCCCTGCCCTGCCCTGCCCTGCCCTGCCCTGCCCTGCCCTGCCCTGCCCTGCCCTGCTCTGCTCTCCCCACTGCTAAGATGAGCAGTCTGTCCTCCCTCCCCTGTAATTGCATTGCATAGAGCCATCTTTGAGTTTTCTTTCACTCACAGGTGTACAAGCTCCTGGACAGCAAAAGTGATAACCTCGCTTTCCTCCCCTCCCCTCTGTTCAGTGCTTTAGATGAAACCTGGGGCACAGAACTATGTGATGCACAGAAAATGCTTAGACTTTAAAAGCCTTCGAGTGAAAAGCCAGGTGTGACAAGCACCAGTTCCTCAGCAGTGCGAGTTCGTCACTCGGCCTCTGCCATGGGCTTTTGTGTTCATCCTCAAAACTGATATTTCATGTAAATGTCCTTGCAAATGTGTATAGTCCTTTCGAATTTTTACAAGCCTTTCTGTTTTCTAAGTATAAAGAGAAACCTTTCAGTCCCATTTATTGCCTCTATTGTCTTGTGTTTTGTTGTCTTGGTTTTAATCTCTTGTGGTGAAACTTGTGTCCTTTGTTTTTTTCTCCTAAGATATATATAGTTACTTATTTGCAAACCAGACTGACTTGTCTGAAAGAGGCAATATTCAATTCCGGTACCTGGAAAAAGGAATGAAACACAAATAGGAGATTTGGCCCTGCCATGCCTAGAAAACGGGCTTTAGTGAGCACAGTGCAAGTAGAAAATGCAGTGTACTCAAAGAAACTGTAATGAATTACCAAGTGCTCGAGCCCTTGTCTGGAGTCCCTCGCTGTGCTTACTAGCTCCAGTTCAGTCTCCTCGCCGGGTGACTTTGGCGCCTCACTTGGTATGAGAGGACAGAGGAAGGATCATGTCTGGCTTATCTCTGTGCAGTGCTGTGATGTAGTGACCACATGTGAAGTGCTGATACCTCTGACTTCAGGAGAGCAGAGAGCTGCCCACCACAACTTAAAACATTGACCTTTGAGGTTCTGTGGGTGGTCTTTCAGTTTGCTGGGCATGTGTGCTTAAAGACAGTTTATTAGATAATAATCTAAGCCTCTCTACAGTTGGGTGTTGGGTGATTTTTTTTTTTTTTCCTGAATCCAAAGAATCAAAGCATTGTGGAAATTGGCTGGGAGATAGAAATGACAGCCATGTGCTCACCTGTGATCTCACTGCTTCAGGTGCAGGATGTTGTTCCTATAACCAGTTATGACACTGCTGGGTCCTTCCTTCTCCTGGGATGTAACAACGGATCGATATATTACATAGGTAAGTCCAGGTTGTGTTTTACAAATGAAAGCCAGATACACCTTTTTAGTGTTAAGTAAATGTGTATCATCTGTTTTTCAGACATGCAGAAGTTCCCTTTGCGGATGAAAGACAACGATCTTCTTGTCACTGAACTCTACCACGACCCGTCCAACGACGCCATCACTGCTCTGAGTGTTTACCTCACTCCCAAGACAAGTTAGTGCATACCCGTCTGTCGAAACACGTTTCCTGTTTATTCGTGAGCTTACTGTGCTGGAAGCTGTTGCTCTTCTCTGCCTACCTCTCTCTGAACCCTCTTGTCCTGTCCTCTGATAACTGTGTGACTAAAAATCATCTGGTTCTTCCTTTCCAAGATTTCAGTCCTCAAGATTTCATCCATTAATCCAAAACGTGATCTGATTTTATACTGAAGTCAAACAGTGACCTGTAAATGAACATAATTCGAAGAGGTGATTAGAGTTGAATTGTACACCTTAAACTACATTGTCAGATTAACCAAAGCTAGACAAAGACCTTCTGTGTCTCAGTCTTCCTATTACAGTAACTGACTTCACCTGAAATTTCGAACTTTGAGGATTTGTTCTTTAACAAATAAATAAAAACTCATGGGTTGTTGGTGTGGTGTATTCCAGTGCAGCCTTGGAACTGCTGGCCGTGTAGGTCACACCTGGTCATCCCAGGATGACTCAGTACCGTAAAGAGGTCACTCTAGGCCATAGGCTCTGTGGAATGCTGCTGTCAGTGCTGCCCAGTGGTGGTCTTGGCATGCGGATTCTTTAATCCTCCGAGTATGTACCAAGTGTGTACTGTGGCTCGGTGTGCTGAAGGGCAACAGGCACCGTGATTCAGGCTATCAGTGAGGAGCAGAGGTAGAAAGCCTAAAAGTGTGTGTGGAATAGTGTGCTGTCACTGCAGAGGCCAGTGCAGATGCAGGGGGAGAAGTGAGCAGTTCTGTTGTAGAGTGAAGGTTCAGGAAGGACTTAGAGGAAAGAAAAAATGTACATGGCCTAGCAGCCCCATCTTTCTTTGCCGAGGGTGAGCTCCCAGCCTCCCCCACCTCGTTCACCTCAGGGAGGCCTTGCAGGACAGCTTTTTAATTACGCCCTAAGGACCTTCTATCTTCTGGCTTCTAGGTGTCAGTGGGAATTGGATTGAGATTGCCTACGGTACGAGCTCTGGAGCAGTACGGGTGATTGTGCAACACCCGGAGACCGTCGGGTCAGGGCCACAGCTCTTCCAGACGTTCACTGTCCACAGGAGCCCTGTCACGAAAATCATGTTGTCAGAGAAGCATCTCGTGTCAGGTAAAGTGAGTCTCCTGGGTTGGAGTTCCACCTTGTGTGCCCCAGCTGTGGTGTCTCATCTTCTTTCTTACGGACATTTCATTTTGCATACTTACCAGAACGCTTTTGAAGAATTTTTTGTCTAGAACTTTTCTAAGTTTGAACTTTAAATTTAGTTGGTTGTTTTTTATTTTAAGCTAAAGTTACAGATGTAGATGTATATTTTGATAGCTGATTACCTTATAAAATATTTAAAGGTCATAAATAATTCGAAGAAAATAACATTTTGTGGGTTTATAGTTCCCTGTAATCACCAAACTTTAAAAAATGTAGATAATAACTAGGTAAATAAGATCATACAATAATTTAACAGTTTGCTGAGAACTACTTTTTGGTAACAAAGTAAAAATTCATGGAATAGATTCACTGGCAGGTGTTTCTGGGAGACTTGGCGAAGGTTAGAGTGAGTCATCCCTAGAGGTTGCTTTTACAGGAGTCTTGTATTTTGTAGAGCTCCTACCTGACCTAACATTTTTATAACCATCATTTTCATTGTGGTTTTGTGTGTTTGGAGGGTGTTAAAAGAAGGCATGTCTGTCCCTGTTCTTGGTGATTAAACACTAATAGAGCTGGGCTCTTAGCCACAGAAGAGTGGATGGATGTGTGCCTCTGAACACCTTGTAGTCAGGCTTTTCTGACCAGCGCTCAGCCGATGCTGGCTGGGGCTTTCTCAGGTCTGTTTCTGCTTCCTCTGTTGCCCAGTTCCTGAGTGTTGGGTTGTCTGAGAGTGCTGTCCTCGGTCCGCTCTCTGTATTCTCCCTGGTGATCCGAATGTTAATCAAGGATGTGCAACAGCACTCTGACTTTTCCTCTCAGAGAGTTGCAGACATGTGTGTCCAGTATCTGTATCTCGGGTTGTGTGTTCGGCAGGTATTCAGATGAAATGTGGAGGGTGTAGAGCTTTTAACGCTCTACATTAAACTGAACTGAACTGAAAAGCCATTTTAATGCAGTTTCACTTTTCTGTTGCTGTGAATGAAACACTGACCAAACCAGCTTACAGAAGGAAGAGTTTATTTGAGCTTACGGTTCCTGGGGAATTACAGTCTGTCATGGCAGGGAGGCATGGTGGCTGGAGGTGGCTGGAGCGGGAGCAGCAGAACCTAAGCTCTCACATCATCACACAGGCACAGGAAACAAGAGAGTGACTGGAGATCCAGCAAGGCTTAAGAACTCTCTAAGCCCACCCCCAGTGATATGCTTCCTCCAGGATAGCCACACCTTCTAAAACCTCCCAAAACAGCGCCACCGTTTGGGGACAAAATGTCCAGATACTTGGAGCCTATGGGGGACATTTTCATTCAAACCACCACAACCAACTATTTACTTACTTAGGCTCAAAATTTAGGAATTGCCCCTGGAGTCCTCCCTTCCTCCTGACCCCTCTGTGACATAGACCCCAGTAAGTCCGTTGATGTTGCTGCGTGTGTCACAGACCTGGTTGCTCCCATGGCCCTCACTCTAGAGATGCAGATTGTCGTCATTCTCCCTTGGTTACTGAAGGCACTGGGCGGCTTCCTGTGTCCTTTTGAAGTGACCAGGTCTGATTGTCAGTGGCTTTCTGTCCTACTTAAATGCATGTGAGTTTCCACTGTGTCTGCCACAGTACCACATTGTGTGCTAGAACCAGGTACTTCCTACATGAACTTCCTCACCCCCGCCCGCTGTCTCTGCCTCAGGAGACTCTAACCTGGAGGCTTTTCCAGTTCATAAAAGTGCATCACAACTTTTGTTCTTGTTCTGTTCGGAATGTCCAGGACCCAGGTACAAGCTTGGCTACCCTGTCTTGCAGGCACTCAGTACCTTCGCGGTATCATTCAGGCATTCACAGACCTACTCAGCAAGGCCTTCTTTACCTCTGGTCTCAATTAGTTAAGCCTCTGTCCAAACATAGCTTTGTCTAATAGTATCTGTCTGTGTTGCTCACAGACTATCGTGTAATCACCATTTGTTTGGCACCTGTCTCCTGGAATATAACTTCACCTGGAGGAACTTTGTTCTCTGTTCTGAACACTTCAGTGTAGCTCTTCCCACAGAGAGGATTCTGGGAAACAGTGTATAAAGTTTGGTCCTGTGGGATTTTAAGCTGCTGGGCTGTGCTGTTTACGTGATAGTGGTCACTGCTGTTACTTTGGTGTTTATGTTAGTGTAGGATATAATGCCAAAGGGCCACTTAATTTATGTTTAAATATGAAACATTAGCATGCAGGTTTGAATTTTAAGTATGTTTGTTAACAAAAACACCCAGTTTAGCCAGAAGTCTGGAGTACTTTCTGTATTAGAATTGCTATTCTGCCCCCTGGTGGGTGTCAGCTTAATTCTAGCCACATTTGTTTTAGGTTGTGTATGTCCTGATGCCGGAAATGAAAACTTTATATAACAATTAATGCCAGCAAGCTGTCATGGTTATTCATTTGAATCAGCCTAAATTGTTTTATTTTTCTCAGTTCAGTAACTTAGTGAAATTAATGAAATTAATGAAACAGTCTAAAACTATATGCCTCCTTTTTTACCTTCATTATTGGCTTTCTGAGAATTGAGAATTCTGTTACACAGGTAAAACATTGTGCAGGAGGTACTTGTTGCCAACATTAAATGTCTCCCTAAAGTTTGGCTTAAAGCATGTAACTGATTTTTTTTTTTTTCGTTTGTTCATTTGTTTTGTTTTTATTTTTAGTATTTTTTGAGACAGGGTCTTCCTGTAACCCCAGCTGACCTGGAATTCACTATGTAGACCAGGCTGGCCTTGAACTCACAGATATCCACCTGCCTCTGTCTCCCAAGTGCTCAACTAAAGGCATGCACCACCATGCCCAGCTCTGTAACTGATACATTATACCATAAGAACTACTATGTGTGTATGGAAGCTGGGGATACTTTTTAGTATTTTCAGGTGAAGTTAAGACTCACTGCTAGTAATAGATTTTCTGAAAGAATTACAAATGGAAAATTAAGGTTTTTGTTTTTTCTTTTTGTTACGGTATGCCAGAAAAGGACAGGTCTTGTAATAATGAATCTGTGTTTTGGTGCAGTCCCAAAAGGACGGGTCTTGTATTAGTGATGTCATGTTTTGTTTGTATTCTCTAATAATAATCCTTTCATAGCCGAAATGTCTGGTTAGGAAGTGACTCACTGTGTGGTCATTTAGTTGCATTCCATTTTAAAAAATAAATGAAATTGATTGGCATATGCTTCTTAATTCACTCTTTTTATAAAAAATAATGTCCAGCTCTAATACAGAATCTTAATTTTCTTTAATGTAACAGTGAATGAGCAGTAAATAGCTAATTCCTAGAGATCCTTGATAAATGCATGTCATAATTTTTCAGTAATTCCTGGTTTAGGTTATTTAATGTCTGAGTAACATAAGTAGAAACAGTTTCTATGGTTGGGAAAAATAAATATGCAGTAGGTAGTTTGGCTGCAGAACAAGAAAGTGTTTTCTTAATTTTCTTTAATGTAACAGTGAATGAGCAGTAAATAGCTAATTCCTAGAGATCCTTGATAAATGCATGTCATAATTTTTCAGTAATTCCTGGTTTAGGTTATTTAATGTCTGAGTAACATAAGTAGAAACAGTTTCTATGGTTGGGAAAAATAAATATGCAGTAGGTAGTTTGGCTGCAGAACAAGAAAGTGTTTGACTTCCCTCTTACACTTAAGAAAATCTTTTCTACATTTATGTTACTGGGCTTTGGTTTTGGTTTTTGTTGTTTTGAAACAGGATCTTGCTCTTATAGCCCAGCTGGTCTATATTCACTATGCAGATCAGGCTGGTCTGGAACTTTGGAAGGATCCCTGCTCTGCCTCCCAAAAGCTAAATTACAGGCATGTGCCACCACAGCTGACTTCCCAAGGTTACTGTTAGAGAACTCATGGATTATTTTGAGCAAGAGAAACTATTCTGTTTTCTTAAAAGTTTTTTATTGTTACATTTACTTGTGTGTGCACATGCACACAGCATGTGTGAAGGTCAGAGGAGAGTTTGTGTTGCCTCCTCCCACCATGTGGGTCCCATGGATGGAACCTGGATTGTCAGGCTTGGTGTCTAGCTGCTTTATCTGCTGAGCCGTCTCACCATCCCTAGCTCTCTCACTTTGGTTAGCTAGATACAGATTGAATACAATGTTAAGTATGTTATTTGCCTCTTAAATGGCTTAAGTCTTCTTAGTGTAGAAAGAGTTAAAACATAAGTGTGAGAGCGATGTGGCGTCCTTAGCATGTGTAGTCACTCTGTGCTCTTGTTCTAGTCTGTGCAGACAACAATCATGTGCGTACATGGACAGTGACTCGCTTTCGAGGGATGATCTCCACTCAGCCTGGCTCCACTCCTTTAGCATCCTTCAAGATCCTGTCCTTGGAGGAGACAGAGAGTCACGGCAGCTACTCATCTGGCAACGACATAGGTGGGTCTCCCCAGGAGTCCGCAGGCCGCTCAGAGCTGTCTCTTCCAGTAGACGGCAATACTGAGGTTTGAGTAGGAAGTGTGTATCTTAGCTTTTAAATTCATTCAAAACAAAAATCATGTATGTGAATGTGTGTGTGCGTGTCTGTGTGTGTGTGCATGTGTGTGGGGTGGGCTCTTGGACCACCTCGGGTGATTCCATGAACCTTTTTTTTTTTTTTTTTTAAACTGTCTTTTAGTAGCCCGACTCACCCAGTTATCTAGATTGGCTAGCCAATGAGCCCCAAGGATCCACCTAGCTCTGTGTCTCTGGCACTGAGATTTCAAAAACACATCACAGCTTTTTCCCTTAGATTCTGGGGAATGAACTTAGGTTCTTGTGCTCTACTGAGGGAGCTAGCTCCCTAATCTATGTAGTTCAGTATTGGTACGTGTGTTCAAGAAGGCTTAGAGAACCAGGGTACCAGAAAGGAAGACTATTACCCTTAAAGAGGAGTGATTCACTAAAAACTGCAGGGAACTGTGGTCATCCATGGGGTGTGGCAGGTTCTGGGGAGGAAGGAGTCTAGGCTTGCTCTCACAGTCCTTCCCTGAAGTAGTTGAGTACATGCATGGCACAATGGTGACTCCCCTGCAGCCAGATGGCCTGGGTTACTTCCTTCCATCCCTTAGGACCCGTGATTTCCGATATCTGGCTAACTAACCTCTTGGTGTCTAGTTTTTTCACCTGTAGAATTAGGGCATTAATGTCTTCCTGATAGAGTTTTATGATGATTAAAATGAGCTAGTGCTGCATTACAAGTCGAAATGCTTTGTCCTGGCACTGTGTGTGGCACCAGTGTAGAATTCAATGCCAGCATGAACTTTGGTGAGAGGGTGTGGTATTAACGTGCCTTTATAAAATGAACCACATTCTCATAACTTCTTTGCCTTTTGGTTTTCTGACACAGGGCCTTTTGGAGAGCGAGATGATCAGCAAGTGTTTATCCAGAAAGTTGTTCCCATCACCAACAAGCTGTTTGTGAGGCTCTCATCAACCGGAAGAAGGTAGCACATTCTGAGGAAGACGTCTGTTCAGAAACTGCCTTGGTTTATAAAGGTGCCATGTGCTCCACAGGTGGAAAAGTGTTCTAGAAGCAGATCGAGACAAATTGATTCAGTAATTACGATTAAAAAGTTAAAATAGGGGCTGGAGAGATGGCTCAGCGGTTAAGAGCACTGACTGCTCTTGTAGAGGACCCGGGTTTGAGTCCCAGTACCCACATGGCAGCTACAAACTGTCCTTAACTCCAGTTCCAGGGGAATCCGACACCGTCTTCTGACCTCCGCGGCATTGCACGACACGGGTGCACTCGCATACATGCAGGCAATACACTCATACACATAAAATTTTTTAAAAAAAGTTAAAATTGAGCATTGTACTTCACACTTGGTTTCTAGGACTTGTTTAGATTTTCAGTGATGCTGTGGATGTTTGGGAAGAACTTGTGGTAGAGAAGACCAAGACATCCGGGGCATTTCTCACACCCAAGCACTATTTACTGATTTCTTTCTCTTTTTTTAAAAAAAAAAAAATTTTATGTTTATGAATGTATTGCCTGCACATATGTAAGTGCACTGTGTTGTGCAATGCCTACAGAGGTCAGAAGAGGGTGTCAGATCCCTTGGAACTGGAGTTCCAGATGGTTGTTAGCTGCTTTGTGGGCGCTGGGAATCCCTCGACTCTTTTTCTTAAAGACATTTAATTTTGGGGCTGGAGAGATGACTGAGCCGTTAAGAGCACTGGCTGCTGAGGCAGAGGACCTGGGTTCAATTCCATGGCAGCTAACAACCATCCCTAACTACAGTTCCAAGGAGATCTGACGCCCTCTTCTGACCTCTGCAGCTATGGCACAAATGACTTACACACATGCACAGTCAGTGCATTCATACACATAAAGTTAAAATAATAAAATATTTTTTAAAACATTTAATTTCATCCTGGGGGAAAAACAAAACAAAGAAACCCTTGATTCGAATATTTCTCACCCTGTGCAGATGTTCATGACTATGTCTCAGGTAAGGTATTGCAGAGTTTGTGCCCATCTCCATATAGGATAAACGTGATGAAGCAGTTCATTCTGGTTGGTAGCTTGTGGAGGCAGGCATCTCCCCAAAAGCAGCCGTGTCAGCTCCCTATTACGTCAGTGTCCCCTCAGGTCTGCCCTAAGAGCAGGTAAGATAGCCCTGATCCTGTGCAGCGTGGATTTGCCCTAGGGCTCCCTGGAGGCCACAGCTGCCACTGCTCTGCTCTGAATTCAGGAACGATTTCTCATTGGATTTCAGTGTAGATCATAGTGGGTTTCCTGGCTGACAGATGAACTGCGTTCTTATTCTAGTTCTGCTTTTTATCAGCTGCATAAATTCAGCTGAAGGGACCTCCTTGGTTTCCTTAGTTGCTTTTCTGTGGCTGTGATAAGAGACCATGATCAGAAGCAGCCATGGAGGAGTTCATTTTGGTTTGTGGTTCCAGAGGGAGAGTCTGTAATGGGGAAGGCATGGTGGCCACAGAGGGAGCAGGAAGCAGAGAGATCACATCTGAGTCACACACAGGAAGGAGGGAGAGCAAAGGAAGTGGACCGAGGCTGAGAACTCTCAAATCCCTCCTCAGTGACACCTTCCTCTGCAAGGCTGCACCTCCTGAAGCTTCCCAAGCAGCAGCACCAACCAGGGACCAAGTGTTCAAACACGTTTTCTTTCAAATCACCACACTTCACAAAATAAGTCTCAGAATCCCAGTACACCTCACAGTCTTGACTGCAGTGGACGTTCCAGAGATCAGTCCCCTCATTCTCCTCCTTTAAGTGTTTGTTCCCTGGCTTCCTGTTGAGCTTCGGTATTTCTTTCTTTACCAGACAAGTGAGGAAAGGAAAATTCCTGTTTGTAGTCATTAAACAGACTGGCCGACTTTCCTTAAACGCTGCCGGTGCTGTGGATGTTTCGAAGTTTCCTGTCTGCTTCTCTTCAGCAGGAGTCTGATCACATGATGTGGCAATAAATAAACTCTGAGATGAGTTGTTTCCATCAGAGATCATCAGTAATTGAGTGAATTCTAGAAAATGTTTTTTTTGTACCTAAACTGTCAGCTTTTGTTTCATCTTATGTTTTAAGAAAATGAATTAGGAGTTTACACTGTAGAGTCCACATCATTCTCTCACAGTTCTATAAATCCCTGTGATTCAGGGCTCGGCACACATCGAGTGGAAAAGCGACAGGTGTTTAACAAGCTGGAATGCTACCACCGTCTAACAGCGTCCTGTTCCGTTTAACATTTCCCTAATGCGTTATTTCAGAAAACAGTGGTGTGTTGCAATCCATTGTATGATTTGTGTACAAGATGAATTTTATCATCTTTTAAGTTTGCAATCTCAGAGGGAAACTGGGTAGAGAATGAGCAAGGGGAAGTGACTTTGTAGACGTGAGCCACTGCTGGGTGGGCCAGAAGCTCCAGTGGAAGGGGAAGCGCAGTGAGCAGGAAGTGGAGCGGTCTTGTAGGACACTGGGGGAAGAGGGTGAGGACTCGGTCCCCAGCTGGAGACTAGAGCAGAGTAGCCTTTGTGCTTATGTTGTTGTTGACAGTGATTTATTAATAAACCAGAAATCTAGATCTTAAAAATTTTAAGTCACTTTACAAATATAAATGTTAATTATTACATGAATAGTAATTAAAAACACTATTACTGACAGAAAAGCAATTGACAATTCCACATCATTGAGGGTGTTTAAAAATGCTAGTGACCAGGGCTAGAGAGACGGCTCGACAGGTAAGAGCACTTGCAGCTCTTACAGAGGATCCACATTTGGCTCTTGGAACCCACATGGCAGCTCACAGCTGTCTGTAACTCCAGTTTCCAAGGGGATCAGATACCCTCTTCCAGTCTCTGCAGGCATCAGCTGCACACATGGTGTATATGTATACACCATACATGTAAGCTCTTAAACATACACATAAGATAAAAGCAAATTGTTTGTTTAAACCTAGTGACGGGGCTGGAGAGATGGCTCAGCGATTAAGAACACTGGCTGTTCTTGCAGAAGACCCGGGTTCGAATCCCAGCACTCACATGACTGCTAACAACTGTCCGTAACTTCAGTTCCAGGGGATCCGGCAGCCTCTTCTGTTCTCCGTGGGGATTGCACAACACGGGTGCACTTATCTACATGCAGGCAATACGTGCATACACATAAAATATTTTAAAAAGCCCTAGTGACTAAAATAAAGGTGAAATCTCTTAAGTGGTCGAACAGTAAAAGCTCACCCTTTAAGATCAGATGATGCCAGGGCAGCGGGCTCTGTAGTGTGCGCATGTGGTACACACGTGGTGCATAGGCAGGGCTGACTTCTCCACTTCTATCAGAATTCACCTTCACCTCCTGCTCACTCTGTCCTGTTCTCATGTTGATGTGGGTTTCGTTTTGTTTCCTTCCCAAGTTTTTGCCCTTTGATTTGCTAGTTGCTGACTGTTCTTTTTATTTCTGTTAAGCTCTTGCACCTCTGATTTGCTCTAGGCTGAGATGAATTCACTGAAGTAAATTCAGGTCACCCTTACCTGACTTGGAGAAGATCGCCTCCTCACACTGTCCCTGGCTTTTCTCATTTGCAGGCTGGAAAATAACTGTTCTATCTCTGATTCTTTTAAAACATTTACTTTTATTTTATTTTATTTTATTTTATTTATTTTATTTTATTTTATATTTTATATTTTATATTTTATGTGTATGCTCCATGAATGTATGTAGTGCCCACAGAGGCTAGTGGAGAGTGTTGGGTCCCTCGCAACTGGAGTTACAGATAGGATGGAACCGAGTCCTCTGGAAGAGCAGCCGGTGCTCTTAACCACTGAGCCACCTCTGCAGCCTCTATCTCAGATTCTTTGGTTCTGTTTTGAAGCATCAGTGATACAGTGGCCTTAAAACCTCCTTGATAAGGAGTGCTGTCCTCGTGGAGGATGCAGCACGTGCCTTTGCCAGAGTTTGGAGCTAAGGCTTTACATTTTTAAAGTTTGTATGTAGGTGCTGGAGAGATGGCCCAGAGGTTAAGAGCACTGGCTGCTCTTGCTGAGGACCCGGGTTCGATTCCCAGCACCTCCATCATGGGAAGACCTGGTCTGTAATTCTAGTTCCAGGGGATTGGAGGCCCTCTAATGACCTCTGTGGGCATTGTATGACACAGGAGCACTTACACACATGCAGTCAATACCCTCATGCACTAAAATATTTTAAAAGTTTGCATGTAAGGGGCTGGAGAGATGGCTCAGCAATTAAGAACACTGGTTGTTCTTGCAGAAGACCTGGGTTCAAATCCCAGCACCCACATGGCAGCTAACAACTCTCTGAAACTCCAGTTCCAGGGGATCTGACGGCCTCTTCTGTCCTCCGTGGGCATTGCATGACATGGGTGCACCTACCTACATGCGGGCAATACATTCATACACATAAAAATAAATATTTTAATTAAAAAAAGGTTTGCATGTAAATTTTAATGCTTTTTTCAATATCTAGCATATTTTATTCATGTATTTATTTCCCGTCTCATTTTTTTTTCCTTTCATGATTTCCTTTGGAAAAGTTGCTAATTCTCGACACTCTGCTTTTGTAACTTAAAATTATTTTCTTCAGTCACAGCTAATACATTGATGTATAAGAAATTTTGACTTGTGCTTTTTTTCTTCTGACTTCATTTTAGCCCTGAAACCAGTTTTGATATGTGTTCACTTGTAACTTTGCAAATAAGACACAAGTGGCCCATTTCCACTGCAAGTTTAAAACTTACATGCAACTTTGTAAGTATGTGTTATTTTTAGTGTATGAGTGTAATTGCTTGCCATGTTTTACGGCGTCTCCTGTCCTTGCAGAATCTGTGAGATCCAGGCTGTTGACTGCACCACGATATCTGCGTTTACCGTCAGAGAGTGTGAGGGCTCCAGCCGGATGGGCTCGCGGCCACGGCGCTACCTGTTCACAGGACACACCAACGGCAGCATTCAGATGTGGGATCTGACCACGGCCATGGACATGGTCAACAAGAGCGAGGACAAGGGTAGGCGACCATTTGGAGGGCCCGGTGTCCCAGGCCAACCTCTGACGTGATTACAGCGAGTGTTTCTTTTCCTAAGATGTAGGTGGTCCAACTGAAGAAGAGCTACTCAAATTGTTAGACCAGTGTGATCTGAGCACGTCGCGCTGTGCTACCCCTAACATCAGCCCCGCCACATCTGTGGTTCAGCAGAGTCGGCTGCGAGAGTCGAACTCCAGGTGGGTAAAGCGCTGTGCGTCATCTCCTGAACCGACTTGGTTGCTTTGGGGAGCATTGTCTGACACACTGTGATCACAGTGGTTGTAAAAGTTGTTTCAACGGCAGTTTCAGTTCAGATTTGTTAATGTTTAGTTGTTTAAAGTTAGTGAATTTTTTTTCAGAATTCAAACTCTGAAAAACCAAGGGCCACATATTCAGTATGCTGATTTCTTGTTGGTTTTAAAGACGGTTTTCTGTCCTTTTCCTTCTGTTCAGGTCTTGGTTGACTGAATATGTGTGCTGCCCTTTGCATCAGCGATTGTAGATGATATCCAGTGCTTGATAAGCACATGTAGGGAGTGTGGGCATTAATGCACGCTGCACATCATGTGTTTTATTAGTGGTTGAGCTGATGAGACAGTGAGATCTAAACTGATTTCTCAAACTCTTCTCAGCCTGCAGCTCCAGCACCATGAGACCATACATGAAGCAGCCACTTACGGTGCCACACGGCCGTACCGAGAGAGCCCTTTGTTAGCCAGAGCAAGGAGGACTGAGAGCTTCCACAGCTACCGGGATTTCCAGGCCATTAATTTCAGCAGAAATGTAGAAAGAGCGGTCCCTGAGAATGGAGACGTGGGTCCAGTGCAGGCGGAAGTGAGAGGGGTGACAGGGCAGGGCAGCATCTCTGAGAGGAAGTCCCCCAGCACAGACGCGAAGAGTCTGAGAGAGGCGGAGTGTGCATCCGAGGCGCGTAGAACTGCTGAAAGTGCTCCAGAGGCCAGGAAGAGGCTGCCGGAAGAGGAAGGCGAGAGCCGAGTGGAGCTCCGGAGGAAAGGCGGGTTTGAAGCAGGGGGCTTCCTCGGAAGGAAGAAGGTGCCCTACCTGGTGTCCTTACCGAGCACTTCTGATGGAGGAACCGACTCCCCTGGTACTGCGTCCCCATCTCCTACAAAGACCACCCCATCGCCTCGGCATAAGAAAAGCGACTCCTTGGGCCAGGAGTACAGCCTGTGAGCTCACCAAAATGCATGACAGTTTGACTACATTTAGATGGAAATTAAAATTTCCTGGATTTCAGCACATTCGTTTTTATACCGAAATTTCCCAAGAGAAAATTTGACCTCATTTGGTATCTTCGTTTGAACAGTTTCTTGAAGCAGATACAGTAGTCCCCTCTTGACACATGGAAATGGTTTAGTTCTGCAACACGTGTAACAGGCTGTTGGTAAAGCAGGAGTCCATTTTAGTGTTGAGCTCTGCTTGTGGTCTGTCACCCTGTCCTACTAGGATGTGCCCATGTAGATGTGTCCTAACAGCTGGTGAGCTAGGGGCCGCATCCCTAACCCAGTGCTAAGGTTTGTCTTGAAGTCCACCTTGAAGTGAATCTCAATCCCCCTGGAACTCAGGCTCCTGACCTTGTTGTGTCTGGTCTGCAGTGTTTACTAGGTATTTAATGAGGTGCTATGTTGTGAAAAAATATCCTGTAACTCAGAAACACTATTGTCGAATACCAGGCCCCACTGTGCACTACGTCTTTTGGACCATTTTACTGTGGGTCATTTCTGATTCTTATGGTTGTGGGGGGTCTTAGTGCAGCATACATCACCAACATCTGATACCCACAGTCTTCCCAGTGGAACTGCTGTGTTTGAATAGGTGAAGTAAAAATAATAAAGGGGACCCTTTGTCTAGAAGGACCCCGTTTGCTGGTGTGCCCTGTGTTATGAGCTGACTTTTGCTACATCTCACTGGATTGGAGAGCTCAGTTTGGAATTCAGTGTTTAGGCTGTGTCAAAATGTTGTTTTGACTATATTTTGAATTTGGAGAGCAAAAGAACTTTTTGTACATTTTTCTTCATTTGGAATGATTTACAAATTTCCGCAAATGGGGAAATGTGAGCTGTAAGCATTTACGGCGAGTGCTGTGTATTGTCCCATCCCAAGACAACCAAAGTGAAGTACATTCCTTAAAGTTTACTGTCAGTGGTTAAATAAAAACTGTTTATCAGTTAAATCAAAAGAATGGTTAACACAGTGTGTCTTCAGTTATTTAAGGAGCAGTTGCTCTGTTTAAACTAACTACATGTGTTCTTAAGGAAAAAATTACATACTTGCATGAATGAAAGACCATTAAAAAGGAAAAAAAAAAAACCCAGTAGAGACTATTACATAATACAGTCCCACAGAAAGGTAGCTGACTGCCAGAGCTAGGCCTGGTGGTGTGTGCCTCAGTGTCAGCGCTTGGGATTTGGAGGCTATCCTGGGCTACATAATGAGCCTCTGTCTCAAAAACAAACAGGAAGTTGACCAAAGCATAGACTGCAAGGTCCCACAAGTCAAGTCGAATTTCTTTCCTTCATCTCCGGGAGGTCAGACCTCGGTCTAAGCCTGTGTGTCTCCTCTGTCCCGAGGACCCCAGCCAGATTTTTTCCGAGTGTCTGTATTCTCTCACTGGAACGATGTTCTCAAGGTTGTGAGCAGAAGAAAAACGATGAAATGGATTGTATGCTTTACGACTGCTGATGAAGGCATTGTAGTTGAAATGGTGGAAATAGTTCAAGTTACTGTGTTCTAAGTTCTTTACTGTTAATCTAGTGCTCTCAGAGATGCAGTCGGACCCACAGGGGAAGGACCTATAATTTTCTTTCTCATCAGGACTGACTGGAGTTAGTTACCCAGGCCCCTTCCAGTTGTGCAGTATTTGAATCTCTTAGTTGGGACTCGTTTTGAAAAAGGTATGACGGTTCTAGTGTAGCTTAGATGAGAACGTACCCAGGCCATTCTATTAAAAAAAATTTTATGTGTATGAGTGTTATCCCCGCATGTAGGTAAGTACACCCGTGTTGTGCAGTGCCTGCAGAGGTGAGAAGAGTGTGTTGGATCCTCTGGAACTGAAGTTACAGACGTTGGCTGCTGTGTGGGTGCTGGGATTCTAACCCTGGTCTTCCACAAGAGCAGTCAGTGCTCTTAACAGCAGAGCCATCTCTCCAACCCCCATCCAGGCCATCCTATTTTCTAGGTGTTTGGGTTTGTTTGTTTAAACAGAGTCTCCCTATAGTCCAGCTGATGTGGAGCTACCTATATAGACCAGGCTGGCCTCGATCTTTCAAAGATCCACCTAACGCTGGCTCCTGAGTGCTGGGATTGAAGGAGTGGATCACTGTGTATGACACCTGTCCTAATCTCTTAAATGGGTACGTCTTTATCATTATTTACATCTAATTTAGGATTGTTAGAATATTTATTTATAAAGGTGTTACACCTGGTTCACACTTAAGTATCTACTCATCAGACCATCTTTAGATGACTTTACATGATGTTTGGGCATTGGAAATGAAACACATTTGTGACATCAGGTTCCTTTTTACCATGTTATTTTACCTGGCCTATGCTTGATTTTCAAGTTGTTCTCTTGAAGTATGTTTGTGTGGATGTCAACATGAGTGTTACACTAGTGTGTACAGTAACAGATTTGTGTTTGGGTCCCTGTCGTTGGTTACGGTGGCTGTCTGGAAACAATTCTTAGTCAACTTGTAAGCTCCTAACTAACTGCACTCTTACTGGCTGACGTTGGGCATAAGAAAGGGTGGTGGTTCTCAGGGTTAGGACCCGACTTGTACGTTGACAGCAGTGTATCAGAGGTGCTGTATAGTGCAGACCCTCATTCATCTGTGAGGGGGACCCCCTGGGCCAGGGACTGGTGTCCCAGAGCAGCATACTGCCATGCACGGTGACTCCAGGTGCTTTGCTTTCCTGGGTCTCAGAGTCAGGAGCTCTGAGAGGTCTTCAGAGCCCGCCCACAGTGGCTGAATAAGAATCAGCGCCGTGGAGAGAGGGTCTGTGCGTGGGGAGGGGAGTTTGTGCTATAGCATTTAGAAACCACAAAATGGTAAACCAGGTACTTTTTGAAAAAGGAGGAGGGGCCCTTGTGAGTTGGCTTGTGAACAGCAAATCCTAGTTACAGAACTCCAGGTTGTGGATGGTGCAGGTTAGGGACCAGAAATAGCCACTTCTTCCTGGGCACTCCAGGTGGCCCGCAAGGTGGACTCCGCCTTGGTTAGGGTCATTCGTGTCACCTTCAAACAGCCAATTGGCCCAGAATGAGCAGGCTAGAACAAAGCCCGGTAAACTAGCCAGTCCTGTGTTTCCTTTTTAGAGCATATAAAACGTGGGTTGAGCAGAGCACTACTGTGACTTGTACAGCTATTGCGGAAGGACAGTTAGTTCACGTTGCTTTCTAGCAGTTCTGACAAGGGCAGAGCTGCAGAACATGGGTCTGTGCTTCTGACACTCAAGGTTGGCAGGCTTTGTCTAGGAGCTGGTCATTGCAGCTGCTCTGCCACAGACTGGCATGATGCCCAGCCTTTAACTGTTGGATTGTGCATGGTGAAAATAGTGGTTTTCAAGCAGGGTAAGTAGGGGTGTCCCCTCTCAAAGTTTTTTGCAGCCCGCCTTTTTGAAAGGACTCAGAATTTTATCACATAATTCAGAATAATTTCTTAGCATCATTACAACCTTTAAGAATAAGGGGAAGAGTTTTCCTTACATTATTTTCCAGGAAAAAAAATTCAAATATCTTTTTTTAACTTTTTAATTGAATTTTTGCGATTTTCATACAGTGTAGTTTGATGGTCTTTCCATCCTCCCTAGCCACACCTCCTGCCCTCCCATTTTAATGTGTGTTCACTGCCCAGTTATCTGGAAACCTGTTCCCTTGCGGTCGTCCACCACCTCTGGCTCCTACAGTCTTTCCACCTCCTCTTCTGCAATGATCGCTGAGCCTCGGGAGGCAGAGGTTTGACACAGCTGTCCTGTTCAGGGATGAGCGCTCTGCAGCCTCTTGTTCTCTGCACGTTGGCCAGGTGTGGGTTTCTGTGTAAATCACTAGGTTCAAATATCTTAAATTTTCTGTTGATGGGAAAACTTTTTCTTCCTGTAGGACTTGGATCAATAATTTTGTAATCCAAAGAGAAACTTTTGAACCGTAGAATTGATATTATGTCAGTTCTTACCCAAGGACTGCATGGGTTCTTTAAATGATAGTAGGGAATATGTGCTGTACTATATACGTGTGTGTGTGTGTGTGTGTGTGTGTGTGTTTTACATGTAAATGTGTTGAAGATTGGAAGGAACAGAAATTAATTTTTTTCTTATACAATTCCATGTAGGCTGACTAAATATTACAAATAGAGCCGTTTCCATTGGATTTTTACTGGGCTGAAGATGTATTACCTGACGTTCAGTGAATGAGCAGAATTCTATGAAAAGTGCTTGTGAAATGGAGTTTCAGAACTAAAATATGTGAAAGACGACATTGCCTAAAGTGAAGGTATTTCAGTTCTGTCCTGGTTTGTTTCTTCATTGCTGTGACAAAACACTCTGACCACTACCAACTTGGGGAGGAAAGGGTTTATTCAGCTTACATCTCCCAGGTTGCAGTTCATCAGGGAGCCCAAGGTAGGAACTCAGGGCAGGAACCTGGAGGCAGGAGCTGGAGCACAGGCCATGGAGGAATGCTGCTTACTGGCTTGCTCCCCTGGCCCTTGCTCAGCCTGCTTTCTTATACAACACAGGCCCACCTGCCCAGGGGTGGCACCACCCACAGTGGGCTGGGCCCTCCCACATCACTCATCAAGAAGATGTCCCTCAGACATGGCCACAGGCCAGTCCAATGGAGGCAATTCCCCGATTGAGGCTCCCTCGACCCAGGTGTGTCAAGTTGACACTAAAGCTGTCCAGCACAAGTTCCAACAACTTCTCTGAATTAGCTATTGTCAGATTTTCTAAACTGTCCTAAATGCACTAGCAGTGACAGGCGTGCATGTATGAAGTATGTGGTGCTCTGTCAGAAAGCTTGATGAATATTTACTTGTAAATAGTGGCATTAGAACCTTGAGCAGGTGTATGTCTGCAGTGCAGTGCAGTTCTCTTTGGCCTGGATTTGAGGTTTTGGTTTGGGGCACTGATGGTCAATTCAGCTATTCTTTCAGGTTATGTCAGCTGTGATGGAGATCACAGGAGCAATGGGGCCATCTTGGTAGACTTGCTTAGTTTAAACCACTAACATCACATTACTGATAACAAATGTGGGCCATCTTGAAACTGCCCTTGATAATTCATTTAACTAACACATCCCTGTCAGAGCCCAGTGAAAATTACATATTTCATCGTTTATAAAACCAGCAAGGTAAGACAAGTATTGTGTATGATATTGTTTGAGACAGCTAGAGAAATAGCTGTTCTTAGATCACGGTTACTAAGACTTTAGACCCTCATTTCTTTATTACAGAATAACAAATAGTGATTTTCGGCATTTCTGATGTTCCGAGTCGTAATCAGGAAAGTTGGTGCACAGCCTGCACCTGGGGTTCCCTCTTACACCTATCACAGCTGGGTGTCAGTGAAGGTGGTGCGTTCCTTGGCCACTGAGCTGAAACCCTTGATGGCATTCATCAGGTCCTCTTCATCCACGTACTGAAAAGTAAGCAGTCGTTGGTTACAGTACTTAGGATCAGCAGTACGTGCTCCTTGATCATACGTATCAAGGTAAAAAGTGAGCAGTAACTATTAGAAGCTTAATATCCATGTTCAGTACTAAGGTGTGGTTTAAGACACCTTTTTAAAATTAATTTAAAGACTGAGTTACAGACACAGGACTGCTCAATATCTTAACCTTTGTGAGCCTCACTGTAAAGTGGGGAAATTTTATACCTATACGTAGGTTTTTCAGATGTGTTATTTTATCATGGATAGGCACCACGTGCATGCAGGTGCCTGTGAAGGCCAGAAGAGGTCATCAGGTCCCCCGGAGCTACTGAACGTGGCTTCTGGGAAGTAAACCTGGGTTGTCTGGGAGATTGGCAAGCACTCCCTAACTGCTGAGCCATCTGTCCAGCCCCTACACGCTGTGTTTGTTAAGAGGGTTTAGTTCGGTGAGCACATACAAGCTGCTGTGCGTCTTTGCTTCCTGCTCCACTGTATGTATCAAAAAAAGCTTAATACTCTGGTTCTATAATGAGCAGGTAACGAGCCAGGTGTTTGCACCTCCGACAAGCTTTCCTTGCACACTGCCCACGACTAAAACTGTGAAGACCAAGCAGAGTTGGCCATTATCTGGAGTAGTTACAGGTAACAGCTAATGTTTTCAGATTCCAGTCCCACGAAGGATGGCTTCTGTGTGTACAGTACGTCTCTAGAACCTCTGACCTTCTGTAAAGATGAGGCTCTCTCTAGATGGCTTAGCAGTTAATAACACGGGCTGCTCCTGCAGGGGACCCAAACTCAGTTGTCAGCACCCACATGGCAGCTTGCAGCTGTGTGTAACCTCAGTTCCAGGGGACCCCGTGCCCTTTTCTGGCCTTCATAGGCACTGCACATACGTACACAGACATGCAAGCAGCAAAACGCTGTACACATAAACCTTTTTTTAGGGAAAAAACAAGGGCGGATGGGTAGCACTGACCTAGAGCTGCTGAGGATTATGCGAAATGATCTATCTAACCCTTCGTGTAGTATTATATTGAGTCCAAATTGCTATGTTAAAACAATGCATTAAGCAATTCTTTGTTACAGTTTAATTATTCCTTTCATTTAAAAATTAGACCTGGAATAGACTCACATAACTGAATGAGCTGTATCAAGATCAAGGAGGATGACAGTTTAATTTGTCTGAAAAACTCAAAGCATTAATTTGAGATGACAGGATCTGGAGCCAAACGGTTCCCTCTATCATTTGCCACAGGTTAAGAAGGTGCACATAGAGTCAGTGAAGGGAACGTGAGGAGAACTAGGGGATGATCAGTGAGTCCGCACGCACCTTCAGCTGTTGGAACAACACCTCAGAGGGTCACGGGAAAGGTAACCTCCCTGCCCTCTGTTTCTTACCTAACCGGCCCAATGGAAGGGTACTCCAGCAGACGTCTAGGTAAACACGCTTTAGTAAAAATCTTAGGATGGCTGACCGCTAGGAAGCTTTACCAAATAAGCCAATTGTTTGTACCACTGAGCTAAGAAAGATGGAGCTCGTAAGTAGAGATACAAGGCTGAGCGTGTAACTGTGGGTGCCGTGCTTGCCCAGCACAAGGCCCTGGCTTCCATCTGCAGCACCTCATTCAAAACCAAACCAGCCCCGGTGGTGCCTGTGATACCAGCACTCAGAGGTGGGGGCAGGAGAAACAGAAGTTCAAGGCCATTCTTCACTGTATACTGAGTTCACAGCCAGCTGAGCTACGTGGCACCCCGCCTCAATAATTATGAATGTAGGTAGTAATGTACTTAAGACTTTCTGAGTTTTTAAAGCAAATAAAGTGTTGCATTTTATGCCTTATTTAGGTCAATTCCTGCTTCTTCCTATAATTTCTGAGCATTTTATCACAGAGCAGGTCAATAAGAAGCTTCTACCCTGGTAGCCCAACAGTAGCAATAACACTAGTAAGCATAACTGTGCACGCGTTTAGAGTGGCGCACTGACAGCTCAGGGCCACAGTGTAGTGTGAGGAAGCTTCGTACTGCCCCTGTCAGGGTGTTGCCGGATGCTTGTCAGTCAACTCACCAGTCCATTATTATGGCCCATAATGGTTTCCCATATTGAGTCATGAATCAAGACTTTCTTGTCTGGAATGTCCATGAGCTGGCTGATGCTGCGGTGGAGAGAGTCCTGGGGGTAGGTTTGGCTGATTTGACTTGGGATCTGCAGGACAGACACGCTCTGGCTGCTCCGAATACTCATAGGCATCCCAGACCAAGGAATTTTGGTGTCTGTTAATCCCTGCAAAGGAAGTTGGTGTTGGAGATGACATGTCAAGAAACGTGGAACTGAAGCTCACATAGTGCCATGGGACGGTGCTCCCTTCCAGAGCCTCCTACAGAGCTTGAACTCTGCACCCAGAGCACTGTGTACCGGTGCTGGCTCCCTGTGGGACCAGGCTTGGGGATGGAGTGAGGTGATTTCTACCTGCACTTGAGACTCTGCTGCAGTCAAAGTGAGCCTTGTCATCTTACTGTGAGTAATTTGTATTTCATTTTCAAAATCCTGGATCTGGGTAGGAAAGTGGGATCTCCCTCTTTTCCCATTCTGTTTAACTTGTTAGAGGAATCTAGCCTCCAAAATAAATTAGATCTGCTAGTAACCCCAGCAAGCAAAATCTTTCCATGGTGATACTGTACAGTGCGTCCTCATGATAGAGTCCAGCAGCTCCAACTGTCCAATCAGAAGGGCCCTGCTTTTCATTGCAAAGTCAACACACCATGCAAAAGACTGGCCCTTGCATCCGCACAGCACACAGAGGTACCTCGAAGTGCATGGTGTAACTCTTTAGGGTGACACTGCTGGACACATCGGATATATCAGCCACAGAGTCAAACTGGGGAAAAAATGGGCATATCAGTTTTTGCTTAAAAGTGTTTTAGGAGTTAAGAGTCCAGATGACAGAGAAGTACCCTTCATAGAGCTCAGCCACAGAGGAGAGTTTGAGCCACAGAGGAGACTGGAGGAACTCCAAACAGGAAGGACAGTCAGAAGGCAACCTGGAAACAGAGAGAGTGTCCATCTTCAGTGGGGACCCAGCCGGGTGGACCTGATGCTGACACTGCCGGCGTAAAGGCAAGCATCAGAAACATGGGCCTTAGCAGCAAACGAAAACCTGCAGATGAAATCCACAAGCTAAACATCCAGCTTTGGGATGTGACAGGTCTAAAAGTAACTCCAGGGCTGGGGCTTTGATCAGTAGCAGAGTGCTCCCTAACATGTGCAAGGTCCTGAGTTCAATCTTCAGCTCAGCAAAATTCTAAAAACCAAAGACTCCCATGAGGCAAGGAAGGTACTCATTTCGGACCTCGTTCAATCGCAGAACTCAAACTACCATAACTGCCAGTTGCCATCTTGGCTTAGGGCTTGGCAGCCAAATGCTGACCCTGCCCAAACAAAGCCTTGGGCCAGCCAACGCCTCCACTTCACTGGGCAGAAGAGTGCCCCTCAGCATCCTGCAATTTCTGGTCCAGCTGCTGTGGCCCAAAGCTCAAGATCTACCCACACCTACTGCATGGGAATAGGGTGGATCTCTCTCTCTAAGCCACAGTTGGACTGTAGCCACTGCTGAAGACACCTTGTCTTAACCACATCTACACAGCCAGAGCTGCAAGGAGTCCCAGGCAAACCCAGTAACTCTGAACATAGATGCTAGCAGCCAAGGCCCCCTGCCCCCACCGCCTGTGCTCTACTGCCTGAGTTCTACAGGGTTCTCTTCCCGGCCATCCACTCTAGACTGTAACCATCACTGAAAAATCCCAGCTTCACCTGTGCCTGTGGTTTGGGAGCCGGGAAAGCTTCTAGCTCAGCCACATAACTTTATAGTGACCAGTGGCCTCAGCACTTGTCCATACCCACAATTGACAGGCAGGATCTATAGAATTTGTCCTTCCTAGCTCATAACTTCAGGACTAGCTGCTGGTAGGAAAAGACTCCGAATCACTCAAGCTTGTCCCAAGGACCAGAGAAAGCATTCACCTGTGTGCTTCAAATCCAGGACAACTCTGCCACAGGGTTTGTCCCCAGCTTTTTCTACAGTACTCAGGAGTCCCCAATCCCTGAAGCTCAAGGACTCTAGATACCAAAGCTGCACACTTTAGGTCAACCTGTGGACCAAGTGAAAGTCTGCTCCATGTCTTGTACCTGGAGGAGTGGGTATGGCAGAGCCCGGGCCTAAATGATAACACCATGAACTAGATGACCTGGGGAATGAACATCACAGGCCATAGACTTTGACCCATAATTGCTGGTGCCATGTCCACTTCTCTCCTGTGATCTGGAGAAGATATCATCTGGGTCCCACAGAAACAGCCATTGTTGCTGCCTGCCCTAGGGACCAATGACCATTTACCCCCAGGTCCTTTGATTTCTAAAACTTTGATCCACAGTTACCTGGGCCGTTGATACCAGCACCACCTTTGGGCATCTGTGGGACCTAAAAAAGGTCCCATCTCAACCTGTGGCTCAAGAACCTGTGCTGCTGGTGCCATGGTCCTTGGCATCACCTGTGCTTGCCCCCCTGAGGGGTACGAAAGGTCCTCCTCATACTCTGCACCACTTAGACTGATGGCTGCTCACAAAATCCAGTGCTATGGGCGCTTGACTGTGTTGTACCTGAAGATACACACTTCGAAGCCTATGTCTGCTTCAAACCATGAAAGTACCTTCATGACCTTCATTTTAGAATACTGAAGACCTCACATACACCGATCCCAGTTGGATGAAGAACTCACAAAGAGGTTTAAAGCTCCTTTATAACCAACCATGTTAAACAGACATCTAGATCTCATGTAAACAACAAAACCTTTTCCTATATAAAAATGACCAGAAAATTGGAAGAAAAAAAGTGTTACACTAGGTGTGTAGACAAATCTAAGACTACAAGAAACATGAAAATACCCATGACCTAAAGGAGAACAAGTGCTCTGAAAATAGACCTAAAGTGGAAGGAGACCTACAAGAACTGAATTAAAGTCGTGACACTAAGGAAACAGAGACATACACAACTGCAGAAAACAATACAAAGAGAGGATGGGAACCATGAAGGATGTGAGATCACTAAGAGGTGGAATTACTAACAAGCCGATCACAGTTCAATCAGACTGAGCGTGCTGGCGAATGCCTCCAGTTCCAGCACTTGGGAGGCAGAGGAATCTGAGATTGAGGCCGGCCAGGGCTACATAGTGAGTTCCAGGCCAGCTTGGGGCTATAGGGAGACCCGGTCTCAAAAAGACATGCAAGCAAAGAAAGATCTTCAGCCAAGGAAATGAGAGACGAAGGAGCTTTCCACAGGAGGTAGAGCAAGCAGAGAAGAGAACTCCAGAAGCGGTAGACAGGTTATTGGTACAGACACAGAAAGATGGAAACAAAAAGGACTAAGAAAATGATGGAATGTGAGGTTGACAGTGACCGAATGTTCCGTCATGAGCACCATGGAAAGGGGAAAGGTACTGAAAACCTGTTTTGTGAAATAACTGAAAAATCCCAAGAGCCAATGGATGGGGGGGTGTGTGTGTGAAATGCTTCTGGACATGACATGGCTGTTAAAACCATGGTGGTGACCTGCACGAGATTAAGCCAGTTAAAAATTTCAGCATGGATCCTACAGGGCCCCCAAGGCTCCACCCCGTCAGAGTTGCTGTTGGCAACTGATGGCTGCTAAGGGGAGAGTCGCTCTTTGCCAACATGGCCAGTGGTAGCCACCCACTGGATAGCCACACACTCATGCATATATGGGGAGCAGTGATTGGACTCTGGGTTATTAACACTTTTTAAAAGGGGGCAGGGGAACTAGGAGGAGTTGGAGGGTCAGAGTGGTGGATAAATATGATCCATATACATTGTATAAATGTATGAAACTTTCAAAGAAAGTAACCAAGTGCCTCTCAACTGATAAGAGGGTAATGAAAATGTGGTACAGTTACACAATGGCATTCTCAGCAGTAAAGAAAGATGAAATAATGACGTTTGCAGGTAAATGGATGGATCTGGAAACTGTTATGCTAAGTGAAGTAACACAGACTCAGAAGAACAAAGGACTATGTTCTTCCTTGCTGGTGGATCCCAGCACCAAAGCCTTGTAAGTGAGTGCATATCCTGATGTAACTGCAGGAAGCAGGAAAATGGAAGGGAACCAGGGAGGTAAAGGAATGAAGAAACCCGAGAGAGAAGACTAGTAGGAGACAGGTGTTACTAAAAAGGGGGTGAAGGAGCTCAAAAGGGGTAGACGATAGCAAAAAATTATCGAGGGAGAAATGGAGAAAATGGGGACACTTTAAATGGGAAGGGCTGGGAGGGAGGACAAGACAGGGAGAGAGAGAGGAGAGACAGTGCCTAGCTAGTATGAAAAACCAGAGGGACTCATATGAGTCCAAAAACCTACTGAAAAATTTCACATACAATATCCCTACATGAGTGTGAGCATAGGTGAAGACCACATGACAAGAGTCAACGCCAGACAGGAGAAACCTTCCTTTGAGGTGTTGGCCAGGGTGGTCCAAGAGACTCCCAGAATTACATAGGCTATTGCCACACTCCTTGATTGCCTCTCAGGACTTGAAGGTAAGACCCTATTGCTAAAGACAGGACATAGGATTTGGAGCAGTGGAGCTGGAACTGACCTGAAGGCCAGCTCTCATAGCTTTGGAGCGCACTACACAAGCTGGTAAGGGAGAACATCAATGGTCCAACTCTAGTTTCAAGGCCTAAAAAACACATCAATGACCAGCACAGCAAAGGACATTGGTGCAGTAGTGGCACTTTTTAAAAACATTTTAAAAATGTATATATGTACGTATTGCCTGTGTGTAGGTAAGTGCACATGTGTTGTGCAATGCCCGCGGAGGACAGAGAGACTGTCAGATCCCCTGGAACTGGAGTTACAGACAGTTGTTAGATGCCATGCGGGTGCTGGGATTCAAACCTGGGTCTTATGCAAGAACAGCCACTGTTATTAACCTCTGAGCCACCTCTCCAGCCCCAATAATGGCACTTTTATCTTGGGAGTGATCAACAGCTACTTAATTGGACTTAAAGGCCACTCAGTGGGAGGAAACTTTAGTCTGGTACTGTAAACCTAGTCAGACACACACAGTTGGAGAGGTCATAGATCTTAGAGAGAACCCCAAGATACTCATATCCTTAATTTCTTACTATGTGCAAAATATGAATCCTTAAATTTACAGACAAGTATCCCAGTCACCACCCATCAAAGTAGCTTCTTTTTCATCAGACAGAGATTA